AAGAAACCGTAGAGAGAGGATACTTTACAGTAACTGGACAGAAAGCAGATGAAGAAATGATCGAAAAACTGATCGAAAGCGGAGAAAGTGAAACGCTCTTGCAACAGGCAATTCAGGAACAAGGGCGGGGGCCAGATTCTGGATACAATTTCAGAGATTCAAGAGAGGCACGATGCCATGCAGGAAATCGTAAAGGGGTTGATCGAGCTTCATCAACTATTCCTAGACATGGCGGTCCTAGTGGAGGCACAGGGCCACCAACTGAATGACATCGAGAGCCACGTTGCTCGCGCCAGTTCATTTGTCATGAAAGGCGCCGAGCAGCTGGAGGTAGCTAAAGAATATCAAAAAAAGCTCGAGGAAATGGGGTTGCATTGCCATTGTTGTTGGTGTCGTTCTCGGTTTTATTATCTTGTTACCAATTTTCATCAAACATAACTAAGAACACAGAAAAAAAATGCTCATAGTTGGTAACTTCGATTTTAAGTTTGTTGTTTTTACAAAACTGTGAAAATTGATTCTTTATAGATATATGATTAATAAAGTATGAATACAGTTATTTGCACTTGGAATTCTCCAACACTTTACAACTATCATGAACACTGCTTTTTCCGAAAATCTTCGGGTAGCAGACCTTTTACCAGTTCTTGCAGCCTATTGGCACCAGGGCCTGGTGCGAACACAGAATCATTGCCGCGTACGGAACATGGGTCAGCTCCACCCTCTGAACTCCCGATATACCAAGCTCCGGGAGCAAATCGGTCAGTGCGGCCCAAAAGCTCTTTATCAATTTTATCCAACACTGGATCGTTCTTATGGAACTTCCGGGCAAAGGGAGCGTTGCTTTTCACCATTTTGTCTAAGTCTTTCATTGACAAGGATTTTGGGTGTTGCTTTGGAGGAGTGTCCCAACCAATGTAGTGGAGATCATGACTTATTGCAGTAACACGAAACTCGTCGGTGTTGCAAATAACGGTATGAAAATAGCCTTCCGGAGAGGAAACAAAATTTGTATAGTACATAAGGATGGTCCGTGGGTGGTTATCCCACCCCCATATACAATACTCAACAAAAGTTCTAGTAAGCGCTACCCATGCAGAACCTGCAGATCAAGCAAAGCAAAGCAACAACTAGACATTTTTTTCATTCATTCATAGAGACGAGAAAATCTCATACAACAGACCACAAAGGCAAAAACGAAACTGATCTTAGAAGCCGGCATTCAGAATCCCCGAGAAACATAACTAGCGAGCATATGGGAACCCTAAGACAATATTTGATTGTTCAGAAGCTTCTATCACGAAAGAAGAATTCTGGGACATTTGCAGGAAATTATGATTCTTACAAATCTTGGTGGTTGCTTTCTGATGGTACTAGCTAGCTTAATTATTGGCAGAACAGAATGAATGATTTCTTTCTTTCTTTATGTTAATGTAAACTTGCTTAATAGACCGAAAGATATAAATACCAAAAGGAGCCAACTTGATATGGGACATTCTCAAATTCGTTATTTCTAGAAAGAAATGGACGTTTATCAATTTTTATTCGAGATGCAATGGAGTATGTTATTACCGCATAATATGTATAACAGCATATTGATCTCTAGCACTGCCAAAATGATACATAAAGGATTGCATACTTCAAGTTTTGCTCACAAGGAATTTAGATATAATGCTTAAAACCGGAGTCTAGCTGCATCCTAAACTGCATCCTAACTGTGCTCTAGTCTCCTTCATCTCACAGGTTGTTAAAACTGCATCCTGGGAGATAGCTGCTTGGTGATTCCCAAGCAGCTTGTTCAAGCTGATTTCTTAGCATCAGGCAATCATTGATTGTGAAAGATTTAGCTTACGGTTCAAGAGGCTGGCTTTGCAAACTTTTAGTCTAGTCTCGGGAAATAGCTAAGAATGGAGAAATAGGCAGGTGAAAGACAAAGGCGACCTAAACCTTATGCTTGAAATATAAATTATTAAAATTTATCCTTATCCGGCACACTAATATGCTGATACCATATCAGTCCATGACTATAAAACACCATTTGAGATTTCAAGATAACGTGGTTGACATAAATCAAAGTGGTGATGAGCAAGCAATCTACCTATGATTAGAGAAACTATTATGTGATCAAAATGAGGAAAAGGGAAGAAGAATAAAAACCAACCTGTATATAACTTGAAAGATGTGGGCAGTGATCGGCGTTGAGTGGTCCAAGCAATGTAAGACTTTTTAGACAAGTAAAGGCCTGGATCAACAATGATTGGTTTTCCTCTCAAGCTCCTGCAAAAGCACGTAAATACACATGTAAAGTGGATGACATTAAGGTATAAGGAAAGGGATATTTCAAGTGTATCATGTACTCTAGTTCTTACAGCTTCCAACCAGCGATCTGTGTATGTTCAATGAAATTGAGATCTCTTGACAAGTTGGAGAAAACATGCAGCAAATCTGCACAATCAGAACGCGTATCAGATATTCTTCGGTAAGCAAGCTAGAAAGACCACAAACAATTTAGCTGACCGTTTCAGAAAACACTCCACAACAACAAATGCAACTTATAACCATCCACTCTGTTTAAAATCTTTTTCACAGTCTAGACCTTAAGTTCAAAAAGTCTCACAGAATAATGAAAGAAGCTCAAGGGGGTAGCAAGCATGTAATTTTGTTCGACTCCATAAAAAACTCAAGGAAATCCAATAAAATTAGGTGGAAGCAAGCAAGGTTCACAGTCAATTTAGAGCTAAAATTAATACTACAAGTATGTCATTGTTCTCTAAACCCTTTATATAATAATAACAAGGAACAGCCTCGATAACAAAAAGATAAAAGAGCTGAAGTCTTAGCACTAACCATCTTGAGTCACAAGGGGATAATCAGAGGCACTCAGGTTTAGAAACCAATCCCACTCCAAGCTCTCCTTCAAGAGTATTGCAATTGATTGAAGGGTACAGGCAATCATGGTGGGACCTTTGTATGTTACCAAGTTCGATTGCGCCATCACGCGCACATTCTCGACTTCGCGAAAAGTCGAATCGATCTTTACCATATTACTCAATTCCATCCCTTCACGAGGAGGATCGTCGAGATCCAAATGCAGGACATACTGATTCCTGGGGTGATACACTGCCTGCAAGGTCCTCATCATCCTATGACTATCACCCTTCGTCCCCGAAATAAGATATGCAAGTCTAGGTGCTTCCATGTTTGCATATCCACTCGTGTTAAACGATTTCATTAAATCCGATTCTACAAAATACCCACTAGAGTCCTCTGCTCTAGCAAAGGAAATAGTGTCGAATGGCAACTGATCTCCACTGTAAGGAGCATTGTATTTGTAAAACCAAAAAATGGCAGAGAAAAACAAAGTAATCGATACAAGTAAGCTTGCAAGAAATGGGATAATCCATTTCTATAACTAAACCCCCTTCCAGAATGCGAATTGACATTTTTCCTCACACTTGTCAATGGATTGTGTATCAACACAAGTTTCCCATAAAGCTTTCTCATTGTCGGCAAAAGAAACCAAACTTTCCTGGCCTCTAGATCCAGCTAAAGAACCCAATAAGGTTAAAGAATCAAGCAAAGAAACCCACCAATATTATTTGGAAATAGGACCAAAAAGATGCAGGGAGGACCGGAAAGAGTACCAAACCGCCTTGTTAAAAAGTATGGGGAACATTTAATATGAAACCAAGTTCTCTTCGAGAGAAAAACATGGTTTCCAAGCAAAAAGATCATTACTTCGACACTATCAATAGCGAAAACATGGGCTTGACCAACTGGGAAAAATAACAGAGCAGATAAACCCAGAAGGAAAACAGTAACCGACACAAACAAAACCAGGAAAAATATATATAAAGCAGTTAAATTTAGCAAGTAGTGAATAAAGGTCAGCTTTTTGATGCTATGGTGCCCCAAGATCTATTCATTAAACCAAACCCAGAAAATATGGGATGAAGAAGCAGAAAACAATGGTATTTTACTAAGAGAGACTTAAAATTATTGGATACTTGAAATACACGAGAGATATCCTCCAGTCATACACCGATGTAGTTGTCACCGAATGATTATCGAAATCGTGTGGGATCGCAATTCGAATCTTAGGATTCACGGAATATAAAACGTCACTGTCAGATTGATCACGATTTCATATAGTTTTTTATCGTCGGGGGCAAAGGGTGGCTGAGTTTAGAGGTTGAAATGAATGTTTTTAAAATTTCGGGGTTATTTTAAAATTTATGTGTGTTTTTTTAAATATAATTTTATTTTTTAAAATTTTAAATAAAATTTTAAAAATTACCAAATTGTTAAACCTGTCACTTAACGAAAGAAATTAACCCTTTTGACGGTCTAGACATCTAAATTGATAACGTTAAGTACCAGAATCATTCAAAAAATAATTTAAGCACATATTCGTGAAAAACACTATAGTTTAGTCACTTATTTATAATTAAGCCTGTTCTTATAAATGAAGAAGATGACAATATTCTATCCCATGCTGAAGACAAAAAACTTGGGTCAAAATATATATATGCTCAGTGGAAAATTCAACAAATTCTGTGGAAAAAATAACCCAAATTATGTTATCTATAGACTGCGTTGATTTTGAACAAGAGCTCGGAGCTCCTGCCATATATCACCAAGCCCAAGCACCTAGTCAAGTGGCGTGGAGGACTTTGAGCAAGAGGGACCAACTTGAACTTTGTGTAAAAGTTAATGGAAATTGTTGGAATTACAAGATTGTTAGCTCAAAACCATGCTCCAATGAACCAAATATAAGTATTTATAGACATACAGTTGGACAGATCAGATGATTCAGGTTTAACAAGACTGGTTCCAAAATGTTCACATGGAGACGAGCAACGTGAAAATTTATAAAGCCACCAACTGGAACAGGAACTTGAAAACATAAAGTCGATCGGTTGCATTCGTAGCCTCAACGACCTGAGCCTAGGCTTGTGTCTGTTTTATTGCGCGAACCTCGGCTAAGAACGAATTGGCTCTTTTGGTGACTTCGTAGTGTTGACAGCAGAGCTACTTGTATAACAGGTTGTAAGCTGGTAAATCTTGTATTCTATGCACATCATCCAAAGACAGTTCTCTCTGCAGTTGCGTGCGTGTTACTTGTAAAACCTCCTGCTCGAACGAAAATTCTCGATATGATCACGAAGTTTACCAATATTTGAACGTGAGAAGGGAGAGAAAAGGAGGCAGAAAGTACATTGAACTCCATGTAGGAAGCTTGCATAGCAAGCCACTGAGCATCCATCAATTCAAAAGCTACACAATATAATATGTCGAAGGCTTCTTCATCTTCTGCAAAATCCCAAACATTCAAGATCGTGAGACCGAATACCGAGAACCGGAAAAACTAAAGTCGGCTTCATAGTTCCAACCACACTTGAACTTAAAGCACTCAAATCCTCGTTTCTGTTACCTCCTAATAGTTTCATGAAATTGTATCCCGGTAGATTTTTTGGTGTTTCTGCAAAAAGAGAGAGCATCCGATCAACGAAAATGACTGTGTTCTAGCTTAACAGACCCTCGAAACCTAACAGAACATCCCAAAGCATGCACTATCAAATTCCATGAAAATCTTAATTAATAAATCGTGTCCGATCAACGGATATATCACGATGAAGATAATCAGAACAATTGACAGATCACTATATAGACCAGAGACGGATTCAACAAGTTGTTAATATAGAAAACAAACCTGAATATAAATCCAACATCTGAATCAACATAAAAGATACATTGATACCAGCAACAGCGAACGGGTACTCCCAAGTAGCCCTGTTTCCATCTTGCTTAAATAATAACCTATAAAAGGATGCCTTCATTTTGTATTTTTATATAATTAGTAAACAAGACAATTTTCTTGCAAAATATAGACACGAAGAACCAAAGACGAAAGAGAGGGCTTACTGGATAATTTTTGCCAAAATACAGCAAATTTTCGAGCGAAATAAAACCGCAACCCCTAAGGCGAGAAGTTCGATTTCAGACAAATAAAATTAATGTATGCTATTTGTTACACATCCTTTTCGAGTCTCCTAGATACCTCTATGTACAGATAGCAAGTTAAAAAGTCGTAAAACGAAAATGACAGAAGCGTACCGAAAATCGGTTGATGGATTAACACCTTGCCACCCCATCTCTTTCCACTGTTCAGAGATCAAGCCTGTTAGAACAACATTGGGAAAGGCAATGTTCCACAATTTTATGAGAGCTTTCTGTCACACCAAAGGATCATGAGATCAATAGTCTTCTAATTTATATGGCATTTCAGCTCTGTATAATCATGTCTGCTCATAGTTAGAAAAGATAGAAAACAATATGGATGTTAAAAGAATGAAGAAAGTGCCTGATGGTCGGGATGAGTCTCGTCAAAGGGAACGTGTAGTCGTTCTTGAAGCCTTCGAAGTCTTTGTTGCTGATCAGAATTAGTAATAAAAAAAACTATATCAATTTTATTATTACTGGGGCTGAGAATGGAATGAAGATGTTTATATGTATATGTAATATATATGTACATACACATATGATATATCAATACAAATCGGCCTAACAAATTATCCCGGCACATCACTAGACTGAATACCCCAGAAACGATGGCAAAAACCAGTTCAGTTCTTCTCAAGCAAGTCCGATTTTCTATCGTAAACCGCATGAAATTGGTTACATGTTTCGAAGCATTCACCGTCTTGTAACGGAGTACCTAAATCTTAATCAGCCCTAACTTCACATTGTCAATTACCTGAATAGGATTCAAAGTGTAGTCAAGAAACTTCTCAGTGCGCTTGCCGAAGCGATTGAAGAGCCCTCCTATCCATGATCGTGGTCCAACCATAGCATTAGTTACAAACTGAATGCTGAATGCTGATCAGAGAATTTATCAAGAAAATATACTCACTAAAACATTGAGCTAACTGTGATATGAGGTGAGTGGAATTGTGTGGCCATTCCAACTCTAGACGGGCTTTCTTTCGTCTCCAGTGAACTTCATCCTCATCAACCTACATTTAAATTTTAAGCAAACCATTCAATACCAATTAGTTGCACTTCAGGTTCAAAATTTGGAAGCTAAACTTTGTAACTAAACTCTTAACTATTCATTATGTAATGTAAATGCATTCACTCTGAACAAGAGACATAATCATTCACCGCAGAAATGGAAGAGTTTTCCATGATTAAGATTAATGACAAAAACAGATTAAGCTAACAGATATGTGCAACTAATACACTTATAATTACTCTGTGAAGAGAAGAGCAAGAAGGAAAGCATTGGCGACGCTTCCTTAATCTCATGAGAGAATCATGAACAAAAGGATTAGATTTTTCACATTCCTTTTAACCAAAGGAAAAATGGGCACCAAATGATTGCAGTAAACTCATGCGCCCCCATCCAATTCAACCCTTGTCATCATTAGAGATAGGGCGACTGAATATGATAATGACACAAACACAAAGTTTCCCAGAAAAAAAATGAAAAAGATGAATCATTTATCATCTCAAGAGCGCAATCAAAGGCCACTTTTTGCTGTAAGAAACTTTTTTTGCACCCCAAAAGAACAAAGCTTTGCAATTTGTAAAGCAAAAAGTCATCAAAGGTAATGTCCTTTTGTCTCTGGTTCGACAACGACATGAAATACAAGACAAAAGGTGGTAAAAAAGAAACCTTTTTTGTTACCTCGAAAGCGATTCTCTATCTGTTATTTCATGTGTTGAGAACAAATTTGGGAGATGGTTTGGTTGAGAAGAAGGGCCCGATTGCCTGTGAGGCAAAGGAGACGAGGAAGAGGAGGAAGAGATGGAGAATGGCAGCATGTTATGTTGTTGGAAGTAATTTGGATACATCATCATAGGAAAGATGCATGTATTATATTTAATTTATCAGTTTTAATACTTAAATTTTTTATTTTTTAAAAAAATTATATTTAATTTTAATTTTAATTTCATTTTAATAACTCATCGTTTTTCTTAACGCATTTAGTACCTAAATTATCAATTCTAATCCTTTTTAGTATTTAATTTTTTTTTTTCAAAATTTAGCATTAAATTTTAAATGGAGTACAAAAATGAAACAAAAACTAAACTTTAAATATGATTTTAAAAATATTAAAAATTTAAATATTAAAACATATCAGAACTGATAATTTAAGTATTAAATACATAATTTACGCTTTGTCGCCTCTATCTGCCACAAAGTTCCTAATCATTTGCCTTCATCGTAGCACTCGGTTCGGGTGTTACACATTTTTGTTTGTTGTCTATAAAACAAACTCAAGTTTCATCTTCAAATTGATATGAAAGAAACAAAATGGAAGAGGAAAAAAACGTTTGATGTACTCTAAATTATTTGATATTAAATATTCAAACATCTTTATATAAACTCGAAATCTCTAAGGGTGTTTGAAATAAATCGTTTTATGCATCTGTTCATTTTAGTATTCATCATTAAAAACTTAATGACACCACATTTTTTATGAGTAAATTACATCGTTCATCACTCAACTATCTTCTCACTCCTATTTTGGTACTAAAGTTTAAAAATTTTCAATTTAACTATTTATCTTTCAAATTGTTCATATTTTAATAACTCTAATTTATTTTTTTAATAATTTTTGTTACATGGCATTCTTTTATTATTTTATTAATATGTAATTAAAAATAAAAAAGTAAATTTGAAAGTTAGAGTGATTAAATTAGGAGTAATTTGAAAGTAAGTAATTAAATTGAAAAAATAAACTACTATTGTTTATAAACTATGATTTCATTTATTCTGGTTTTGAGGGAATACACTAGACATCTGTTTAATCTCCCTGAACTTGATATTCTGAACGTTTTCCTCTGAGCTACAAGCTACCTGTCTGTATATGAAGAAATGTTAGTGGAACTTCAGCTCATCTCGGGAACATGTATATGCCTGAAACAATAAGGAAATTTTCTTCTTTGCCAGGTTTACTTGTCATTTAGCATTCATTTAGTAGTTTTGTATTACTAAGCTTCTAAAAATTCTCTCTTTTACTCACCATTTCAGGTTTAAAGATTTGATCCAATACAACTGTTGACCTCAGTATTGGGAGTTCCTTCGGCTTTGCTTGTAGAGTACGGCACAAGTGTAAGTAGGGGGCAAGTAGGCCACATTTGATTTTTATACTGAGTCTGGAACTCATATGATTTTAATTCTGTATGTAATATATGAATGATTTTCTGAACTTGTATGTTATTTATAAATTGTTTTATGATTTTACATGTTTAAACAAAAAAAATTAAATTTTCCTGGATTTTTACGATTGGTCATTCCTGTGACCCTTCGGATTGGATCGGGTCACCAACATCAGTACGAGGGTGTTACATAGGATTTTGCATTTTTTTCCCAGCGATTGTTTGATTGCTTGATCCTTGTTTATATGTTGAGCAGTTTTAGTTTGTTTTTGCCCAATGTTGAACCGAAATGTGTCAACTTTGTTGCCTGTTTCTGTTAAATCTGTATTATGTTACTGAAACTGGCTATGTTTGTAGGTTTTATAGATGCTTATTCCATGTATGTTCATCCATGTTAAATTTATGTACATAAAAGAAAAAGAATGGCCTGAATAAATTTGTTTATAGCATAGTACGAAGCAACCAACAATTGCTCTTCTTGTTCAAGTTGTTGTTGCTCAAATTTCTCCATGTGCCCGAGCTGCTTGCACAATGTGCATCGAACTCGCCGTTCGAAACCGGTAAATGTTTTCGATGATACTTTTATCGGACCGGGGATCGTTATTCTCTCTAAAGGATTCAGCTTCGAGTGTAACATCACTATATGGAAGTTCAATATAAGGTGGTGGGTTAGATTACTTATTTCTTTGCCTGCTGCTGCTAACAACCACGAAAACGCACGCAGTCTTCCGGTTTCACGAACTACTTAGTAGGGGTGAGCGTTCGATCGAGTCGAGTAAAAAAATTCAATTTATTTGAGTTAATAAGTCTTATTTTATAATTCGGAGTTGACTTAAAATTTTGTCAAGTCGGGTCGAGTCAAGTCAAAATTTTCAATTTCTTTTTAAATTTAATTGTAAATATTTACAATATTATGACATTATTTGATTCTGATTTAAATAATATTTTATAATCATATACAATATATATATATATATATATTTGTATTTTTTTCATTTGTGATTTATATATATCATACAAAATCAAGAGACTCGACTCAAACTTAAAAATCAATATATTAATTGCTAAAAAATTTGAACTACTTAAGTTGTATTTGAAATTTTTTTGAGCCGAATTTTTAAAAGTATATCTCAAAATCAATTCAAATCGAGTTTTTTAAAGTCGAATTGAGTAAAAAAAATCAAATATTCAAATGAATTAGAGTTTTGTCACCTTTGCCACTAAGTTCTGTTTTGTTTTACTGTTTATTAATATTTCTTTTTATTAATTTATACAGACAATAATGGATCAGAAATGGGGTCAGTGCTTCTAGATCAAGGTTTCAATCTTATGATCTTATCCTTTTATTGTTTAAAGGGTAAATTACATATTTAATACATAAATTATCAGTTTTAATCTTTTTTACTACTTAAATTTTTAATTTTTCAAAATTATATTTAAACTTTAGTTTTTTTCATTTTAGTATCCTATCATTAAAAACTTTTGTTTTTGTTTTTATTCCCATTCAAAATTTAACTTTAAGCTTTAAAAATTAAAAATTTAGGTACTAAAATTAATAATTTAAATATTAAATTCGTAGTTTGCCCTTGTTTAAAACAGAATGTGCTTTTTCCTTCTTCTCCAATCAGCAAAATGTGCTCCATTCCAAGGAACTTTATCTGATCCCCTTGGAATATTTTTTTTAATTTTCTTTGTTGTTGTTAATTTCAAGCTAAAAGCAAATCAAAATTAATATTTAAAAAATCATATGAAAAATAAAAAAAAATGAAGTCCCTCGACTATTAAAAGTTATATAAATGGTCCTTCGACTTAGGATACTGCTTTGTTAAGTCCCTCGACTATTAAAAGTTATAAAATGGTCCTACAACTATAGAATGTTGCTTTGTTAAGTCTCTTGGCTATTAAAAGTTATAAAATGATCACTCAATTATTCATTATGTTCCAAACTCGTCATTTTCTGTCATAGCCAACAAATTTACATTTAACTCAGAATATCGCCCATTTTTAGCAGAAAAAGACGAGTTTGGAACATAATTAATAGTCGGATGATCATTTTGTAACTTTTAATAGTCGACGGACTTAACAAAACAACATTATATAGTCGAAGGATCATTTTATAACTTTTAATAGTCAATAGACTTAATGAAACAATATCATATATTCGAGGGACCATTTATGTACTTTACCTAAGAATTAAACCATTTTAAATATTAATTATAAAGAGATTCACTAAAGTACAGTTTGGTAATGTTTTCAAATTAATGTGTAAAAATTTAAAAAAATAAAGTGGAAACGGTGGTTTTAAACTAAGCACAAACATCCTTAAAAATAATAATTTAATACAAATTGTGGTTTTAAGTTAAAATTTCTAGTTTTTTTCATTCAAACTTTGTATATAGAAGCAAATTTATATTTTTACCCTTACTAATGCATTAACTCCACTCAATTATGTATTTATATTTTATTTTAATAATTTAATACAAACATCCTTAAAAAATAATTTATTGCTTTTAATAATTTATTTTAGTTATAATTTAAATCTTTATAATTCATATATAATAATTTATTATAGTTTAAATTGGTATAATTCATATATAAGTATAAATATAATTTAAAAGTTATATTTTTAATTTACAACATAGTGTCTATAAGGGACATTTTATCTTTTCAAATCAACTTTTTAATAACAATCTCAAACAGTTAAATTTTAAACCGCACTTTTGAATAACAATTTTAAAATTTCGTCTCTACGACACTTTTAAAAATTATTTTTTAAAAAAAGTAATACCAAACTAGACTTAAATATTATTATCAATTATTTTAGATTATAATTACATATTTAAAATCATTACTAATTTATTCATAATTGCCTTCTCTGTTTTAGGGTTTTCTTGATATTTATAACCACATACTTTATATTGCCTTGTAAAGTGACATAGTAATTAATGGAAGTAGAGGAAGCAGTTCTTTTATTTTCCCCAGAGAATTGAACTGTCTGCTCCCACTTTCATCACTTTTCAAGGCCACTCCTCCTAAATATTCACACCCAAACCACCAATCATTCGTTCATGCACATGCCGTCTTCCATGAACCCGAAACTCAAGCTTTAGTTTTTATTTTTTGTGTTTTCGAAGAATGTTTGACTTTCTTTTTGGCTGGAGAAAAGCTTCAAAGTGGTAATGGTCTGGGGGAAAAAAGCTTGTTGGATATGGTGTTTTTTATTAGTTTTTATTCATGTGTGTTTTTGAATTTGCAGTAAAAAGCTTATCAAGCATGTTCAGTGTCGCTTGAAGCTGCTGAAAAACAAGAGGTTGACGATGGTGAAACAGCTGCGGGAGGATCTTGCTCAGCTCATCAAACTTGGGTATGAAGAAACTGCTTTTAATCGGGTAAGGGACGAAGTTTATCAACTCCTTTTTTTATATATCCTCTGTTTTTTATTGTTAATTCTTTGAATTTCAGGCCGAGCTGCTTCTTAAAGATGAGAATATAATGGCGGTCTATGATCTGTTGGATCACTTCTGTGAATTCATCAACCTTCAATTATCATATATTCGCAGACACAGGTATTTTCAAGTATTTTCTGTTTCGATTGTTCAATTGTCATGTTTCTGACTATGACGAACAATTATGGTGTTTTAGGGACTGTCCTAATGATATCAATGAAGCAGTTTCGAGCCTTATGTTTGCGTCTGCAAGATGTGCAGAACTTCCCGAGCTTCCCGTGATTCGGAAGCTCTTCGGGGAGCGTTACGGTCACCGGTTCGCGACGGCGGCTGTCGAATTACTTCCTGGGAATCTGGTGAACCGTGAGGTTGTCCGATTGTTACTCTAACTTCTGGTTCTTTTATTATCATTGGTTAATATAAAGCATTTGATGGAAATTTGTCTGCAGATACAAGAAAAGCTGTCAGTGAAATCGGTTTCGGATGATGTAAAGAACAGATTGATCGATGAAATAGTTCGAGATTACTGCCTGCAGCCTGGAATTTCGGCACTTGAATACTTCCCCGAATTGGAACGCCAGGTAACTAGTGAGATGGAAGTTAAGTCCATGCAGGTTGAACCATTGCAACTTCGATCGACATCGGATTGTCCGGATGATCCACAATGCAGGGATATCGTCCCGGTTTGTTCGATCACTTCAGAACAAAAAGATGATGAAACGATGAAAGTGACATCTTTGTCGGACAGTTTGCCTCCGATCTCCGGGGAGCTTGTTGTCTACCTTGATGACATAGAGGAGTTACAATCTTCCGTTAGAAAAGAAGCATATCGCCAGGATCAGAGACTATTCAAGTTCAAGTCACTCCCCCTGCCTACAAGAAGAGTGGTTATGGACGGAACGGACGGTGACGACGAAAGTTCGGACAACGAAAACCACGACGAGAAGTCGAAGAAATTAATGTGGAGGTCATTCTCTCTTATCATGAAGGATACCGATCACAAGATTTATTATGAGAATCACAAGCGTAAATCTCATCACTACAGAAAGCTCCACAGTAAGAAAACAGTAACAAAAATTAAAACACCTTATGCTCTAAAGAGGCCTAAACAACCTTGCCATTGCCAATGTTCGAGTGCCTTACCGAGCGCGGGCTGGTCCGAAACAAGAATCGTTCCATATTCGAGGGCCGTAACGATGCCACAAGAAAGGCCGAGAGGGATACACAGGTACAGCATCGTTCGGTCGAATTCGTTGTCCGTTCACAAACCGAATCACGTCCATCCTATGCTGCCGGAGTATGAAGACATAGCGGCCAAATTCATGGCTCTCAAGAAAGATCGTCTGCAACAAAAACAGCGATGAAGAAACTAAAGATTCTCTGGTATTCTTTTCTTTTCATTTTATATCATATGATCATAGGGACAATGGTCACTTGTAAACTGGGTCGGGTCCAACAAGCCCATAACTTAATACCCAACTTAGTTCACTAATCTTTTTAATCCAGATTGGGAGTGCTTCTAGAACTGGAAAATATGGAAGGATATGAGACCCGAATTGATCCAATTGGGTTGGAATTTTTTTAAAAATAAAATTCGGGTTTAGATCGGGTCAGATAAGGTTTGGATTTAGGGTGAAAATTGTCTGGCTTGAAAAAATTAATATTTTTTAATAAAAATATTATTTCGGGTCGGGTCAAGTTTATAATTTACTTAAATATTTACGAATAATTATAATAATATCTCTCTATATATTATTTTTTCAATTAAATTCCTATTCTTATTGAATAAAAGTAATATTTTCTAATAAACATATTATTTCGGGTTGGATTTGAGTCGGGTAGATGTTATTTTTTGGATTGGCTTCAAATTAGGTGAATGACGTATAATTTTCGGTTCAGATTGAATGGATCGAAAACCCAAATTGACACGACTCATATCAATCCCTACTGAAAAAGTGATTTTTCATCCCATAAACAATATTAAACACCTACTAAAAAAGTGATTTTCCATACTGAAAAAATTTCGAATTAGGTGAATGACGTATAATTTTTGGATTAGATTGAATGGATCGAAAACTCAAATTGGCACGACTCATATCGATCCCTACAGAAAAAGTGATTTTCCATCCCTAAACGATATTAAATACCTAAAAATTTATTTAAATTATGATTAAAAAATAAATTTTAACCTAATTTCAGCTCAAATTTCGACCTTTTTACGTGGAAAGTCACTTTTGGATGAACTTTAAATTTCTACCTCAAAAGCTCTATCATAATTAAATTGTTTTGGCACTTAAAAATGTTGGAAATGATAACAAATTAACATTTCACCAACAACCCACGTGACTAACATATTGATATGACATGGAAGTTGAAATTTGAATTAGAACGAAAATGAAAATTCATTTGACCGTGTCAAAATTTTAATAATATATCCAAGTATAAATAAACTTTGGATTTCTGGTTTCTACGTATTCGTATTTATTAATCTAGATCGACTTAGATCTCACATTTACTTTTAGTGAACTTATTTTTCAGCAAAATTTTTCTATATACATAAAAACTCGAACTCGAGATTTACTTAAATTATATCAACTTATTTACCACTTGAACTAACCTCTGTTTATTTAATATGTAATATATAAGTGTGAACACACATGTACCCTATGGACAGGGTCGTGGCTGGGGCGGCTCGAAATGTGCAACCGTGCAGGGCCCCAAAAAAAATATACATTGTGGCGTTTTTTCAATAAACGTCACTATAGATTGACCTATTGCGACGTTTTTAAAAAACACCACTATTATTGCGGCTTTATTGATAAAACGTCATTATAGATGGATCTATCGCGACGTTTATAAAAAAACGCCACTATTATTGCCTCGAAATTGAATATATCTAAAAATAAGGGTTTCTTTATAAAAATTTGTACAAGGTCCTCGAAAACCCTGCCACTGCCCTGCTTATAGAATCCACCTACTTTGTTTTGTTTTGTTTCAAAGCAATTGTGTGTGTATATATGGTGAATCAAAGGTGGTTGAGATTAGAATTATTTAGAGCCCTAATATGATTTGAGGACACGTGTGCACTTATGCATGCTCCCATTTTGTTACCAATTCTTGGTGTCTCCAAGTCGAGAGAGCCTTAAAATCCATGTAACATTCATGCATGCTGTCCCTATAGAGGGTTTGAAAGTGCTTTCGTTTGAGGTCAAAGACAAACATATTGCTTGTGTTTGGTCTTTCGAGATATTTTTAGTCTTCTTTGTCATACACTCATGATTGGATTACACGTGTCTTTCTCACATGATCACCACGTTTAATGGAAACTTCTTTCCATTTCCATCACCATACCAAACTCTCTGTTTTTTTAAACTTCTTCTAGAGTTCCATATGCAGTTTTGCACCAGATGGATGTATGTAACATTTTATGTTCGAAGATAAATTTATAAAATTTTAGAAGATAAAAAATTGTTTTTAGTAAAAATACATAAAAATTATAAAATATATAATTTTAAATTTTCAAAAGAACGATGGCTCCCACCCGCCCCTAGTTTTACACCCACTCTTGTTGATGGAGAAAATCAATTTGAGGCGGGTTATGGGTAATTTTATTTTTAAACATTTCTATTAAGGGCTAAGTGATATTTTTGTAGGTAATTTATATCTTAAATTATTTGATTTGATTTAATCTTTTATTTAAATTACGATATTTTTATTTAATCTAATTAAACTTTAACTATTATTATTTACACAGCAGCAGGCTTGGCTTGGTTGTTGTATGCTAACAGACACGGTTTTGAATCATGCCTCGAAATGATTAAGGGTGTGTTTGGTTGGGGGAATGTGAGATTCCCATGGGAATGAAATCCACATTCTCCTATTTGGTTGGCCGGGAATGTCATTCCCGGTAATCTTACATTACCAATAATGAATTTTTTGGGGTATATTACCAGGAATGTCATTACCTCCATTTCCTTAGATATTGTTGGATTACCGGTGTTTTGGACTAAAATATCCTTAATTTTTTCTCAAAAATATAATTATTCTGTCATTGAATAATAAAAATTATATGAATGTTAAATTAAAAATTTATCCTTAAACTATTTTAGATTTACAAAAAAATCTATAATTTAAATTTTATATGAAGTTCAGGGGTTAAAATAAAATTTTACCTTGTTATTAAACCTTTTTACATTTTCAATTTTGTAAAAAAATATGTAAATTTTATGAATTTAATTTTTTTTAAAGAAAATATATAAATATTTTCTAACTTGTTAAAAAAATAAATATATAATAATGACAATTTGGTCAAATATACATTCTAATAATCTTTTATTCCTTTAACCAAACACGGTAATCTTATATTCCTGCTAAACCAACCAAACACAAAATACAACATTCCCAGTAATCCTATTCCCTGATAATCTTTTATTCCCACCGATAATCTTACATTCCGTAAACCACACGCACCCTAATAATTAATTGATTTAATAAGACAAAATAAGATTTAAATTCAATCTTCATGCGCGCGTAGATATATATCACCTCATATTATTTAAAACTAATAAATTTTACATTAAATTATAGTCATTAAATTTAAATAAATAATTTAAATTTAGTTAAGATTTATGACACATAAATAAATATTTTTAAATCACAGTTAAACAATATATTTTTACCCTAATTCCAAATCTCAATTCTCAAACCCTAACCTTAAAAAAAGTATTTTATTGTAAGTTAAAATATTTATTTATGAGTTAAATCTAATGACTATACATTAATTAAAAAGTTTATTAGCTTTGTACAATATAAGTGGATCATTAGATGAGAAAAATTAAGAGATGAGATTAACAGTAAAAAATAAGAATATATTCACTAGAAAATGATAAAAAGTTAATTGCAGTCTTTAATTTTCCCCAATTAACGATACTAAAATGTATAAAATTAAAATAGTTTTAATATATATATATATATATATATATGAGATTGCGTGAGTGGGCAGCCAATGAGTATGGCCTGCGTGGGAATAGAACCTTGGCCTCAAAGCAAAGATATTTTTGTTTTAGAGCATTCCCTTGAAACTTTGGCCGTTCCTGTCGTTGATAAAATTTAATGATGATGTGGGAGCAACTGATTGGTTGGACCACCGGTAAGCCCATTTCCACCGACTTTTTACAGACGTTTTTGCCCTTTGAGTTTGTCCCCAACTCAGACCATGAGACGCCTCCACCTTCACATCCCCCAACAGTTTTAATCCCTTCTACTACGTTTTCTCTCAGATATTTTGCCACAACTGAATAAAATAAATTATAAATTGTTAATGGATTCCCTATTTTAATATTTATCATATAATTTTTGTTTTATTCAATTATTCATAAAATTTTTAATTATACATCAATTATATATAAATATATTTTAAATCAATAAATTATATTGTTTCGGATATTTTCCCTATGAGCATTTATTCGATTCACCGAAACAACAACAAAAACTTTATTCCCATAAATAATATATTTTAACAAACATGGGTTGGTTCAATTGTTTAAATAGTGAGGAGTTTGATATCATTTAAGTAAAGTGTCGATTCAAATTATTGTGTATGCAAAAAATCTATGTTGGGAGCTTAACCCATTAAAATCATATGTGCGACGCTGACGGAATTAATCAAGAAAGGCAATTAAAAAAATAATACTTTTTAATAAATATGATTTGATTAAGATAATAATAAAAAAGAAAGTCAACCTCGCGTGGGTCCTCCAATACCACCCAAGAACTATGAGACTTCTATAAATTCTGCACTTCTCTCGGATGAGTGAAAAAAAAAATTCCCCTGCATTTTTTCTTTGAAACTCATCCCTTCTCACTGCAACACGTCTCGATTTTAGCTCCTCGTCTCCGTTTCTATTTACTACACTCGATTTATACATTTTATCTGCTAAGATCTTCCCATCTGAAAGTTATCAAAGTTTCATTTATATAGAGAAAAGGTGGTGCTTATCGGTATCAATGGATGCTTCAAATAATAGTGGAGACGAGACAGAGAGGCGTCAGTGGAAGCCAGTTTCTGACGAAGCTTCCATGTCGAAAAGGCCTTTCAAGAAGATCCGTAGCCCTGAACGAGAAACCCCTTTCCAGTTCTCGCCTTCTTTAGCTCATCCGTCTTCTTCACCAAATGCTCCTTTGCCATCTTCGAGTCTGGCTTTACCTTTTCCTTTTGATGCATCTCAACGTTATGGAAACAATCCAACTCTCGTGCCGACATTCCGACCGATTTTCTCAGCAGAACCGTCTCTGTGGCCTCAGCAACAGCAGCAGCAGCAGCAAATGGTTCAGTACTGGAGCAGTGTGTTGAATTTGAGTCCGAGAGGGAGGTTGATGATGATGAGCAGATTGGGGCTGCAGGATGGGACAGGGAGACAATTGTTTAGGCCGCTGGTGAAACCGATAAGTGCTACGAAGCTTTACCGGGGAGTGAGACAGAGGCATTGGGGTAAATGGGTAGCCGAAATCCGTCTTCCAAAAAACAGGACTCGTCTTTGGCTCGGCACGTTCGACACGGCCGAAGATGCCGCCTTAGCCTACGATCGAGAGGCATTCAAGTTGAGAGGAGAGAATGCAAAGCTCAATTTCCCCGACCTTTTCCTCAGTAAGGACCAGAATCCCCTACTACAACAACAGGAGGATCAGAAGCCGCAGCCTCCAGAAACCGAAAAGTTACAACCACAGGCAGCAGAGCCCGAAGAAGAAAACGTCTACACCGATTCGGGGATGACTACGGAGAGTTCGGGTGCCGGGGAATGCGTGTCGGGTTCTCAGGAAATGGAATGGGGAGCCATGGCAGAGGCGTGGTTGAATTCGATTCCAGCAGGCTGGGGACCTGGTAGTCCAGTGTGGGATGATTTAGACACCACAAACAATCTTCTTTTCCCCTCAAATCTCCCTTTCACAGATCAAAATCAACAACAACACAATTCAACTCCTCCTTCAGCTTCTTGTCCAACCTTCTTTTGGAAAGATCAATATTACTAAGTGAACCATAGCCATTCTTTGCTCGCAGATTTCACTTAGAATTAGGAGATTTTTTCACCACAACCGATCGACCTGCGGTGGCTCATTGAGTAGCATCGGCATCTATTAGCTGCAGCCCCACCATGATTCATATATTCCCACGTGCAAAAAGGTTGCGTATTTTTTTTCTGGCCTTTTAGCAGTGACAAAACTCATGTCTTCCAATGTCTTTAAAGCTTTAGGTCTTGCACGATTGCACCATGTTTTTTTTAGTAATAAAATCCAATTTGAGTTGAGGAGACAGTTTGGTGATCTCCTTCTCGATTGTGTCCCACTCCATTTGAGCATACATTTCACAGTTTGTTTAAATTCTTGTCCTTTGTAACAGTAGATGTAATGCATATTCATGTTTACCATTTACGCTTACGCATCATAATCTTGTTATTGAGAAACGTTTTTCACATTAATTATGGACCAACTGGCCATGCCCTGGGGAATGAGATGATGACGATGTTCTGAATGTTGGGACCAGTCACCACTCATGCCATCACATATGGGAACCCATATTTCTTAGGACAAATTAAGTATTTAGTATCTAAACTATCAGTTTTGATCTGTTTTAGTATATAAACTTTCATTTTTTTTTCAAAATCATACTTAAAGTTTAGTTTTTGTTTAATTTTAGTATCCATCCAAAATTTAACTTTAAATTAAAAAAATAGAAGTTTAGGAACTAAAACGGACCAAAATTGATAGTTTGAGTACTAAACATGTTATTTTTTTTTAATCTGGAGTAAGTACTAGACATAATTTGTTCAAAGATAACTCTCAATCATTTGACATTGAACGCTTATACCCCTGACATTTCTGGTGCTCGAACCTAGGACTTCAAGGAATAACAATAAAAACTAAACATTAGGTATGATTTTGGAAAAATTAAAAGTTTAGGTACTAAAGCATATCAAAACTGATAATTTCAGTATTAAATCCGTAATTTACTCTGTTGCTTAATACCCAAAGCAATCACGATGTTAACTCAAAAACATTGATAAAAAAAATATATCCTGGCTTTTCTTATAAACAATTGAAACTTCAAAAAGAGTAAAATTGGTATTTTTATTTTATTTTATTACCTTTTAGGGGTCGGGTGGACATTATGAAAAGGATGGACAAGTTGATAAAATTGGAATTTGGTAAGAGTGCATTAAGGATTATATATATCATGTCATATAATCCAACAAAGATTTCACCACACCAACTATGTCGATAAATCTAAGAATTTTGCTCGGTTTTATCTTGGAGCATGCATTTTCTGGACTTTTGGTGCATATAAACCGCAGGTTTCATTATCCATGAATCTCCAAGGTGGTCGGTCCTCTCATGGTGAGTAAAAAAGACATGTTTTATCTCATCTCAAGGAATGTTTATGTCCATTGTATGTATTTTCCATCACATCTCATCGAGAGATGCATGTGTTAGAATTGACGTGAGTTTTAGATTAAAGCTTGGTTTATAATATTTGCATGTGTTTAAATGCTTGAATAAAATCAATATATTGATGATCGTTCACATGTTTATTGCATTGACAATCTTAAGCGTCTAAGTTCGTTTCCTCGTGGGATTGATATCCTATAGCCATAAATTATTTATTATATTTGCATCGACAGTGTACGCTTGCATATTTTACGGTGATATTTTCAACCGATCATTCTATAAAATCGAGTCAAAGAATCGAAATTTGTACTATTTAAAGCGAATAAAAATGAGAAAGAGGTGGACGAGAGGAGACAAGAATGTCTAATGGAGAAATCAATGAAGATAAAGCAATGTTAAAACATAAGTTGGACTTATAATATTGAAAATAATCTTATTGATTAATCGAATTACAATGAATTACAAACTTTGTAGCCTGGTTTTGGTAGTGTCGCACTTGTAGTCTGGTTGAATTTACTCTTTTTTTTCATTTAGATTTAAAGAGATTTTTAGCGAGACATTCTTCCCGATTAATTATTAATAAAATGAATTCTTATTGAAAAAAAGAATTTTAATTAACTTTTGTATCGTCTTTATTAAAATACATCAATCAACAAAGTTTTTTTATTATTATAATAACAAATTACCTAGACTAAAATGAAGGAAAAGAATACTAACAGCTAAGCTAAGGGATTAATCAACAATGTACTAATAGACTAAAATAAACTTCAAGAAATCGGCATTTGGTATCAACACAACGGACATAAATGACTTGTTTTCAACCACTCCACAATGCAATCGTAGTGATAAACATGGCCGCACGGCATTGAAGAAACCTCGTCCTGGTCGGAGAACTCATCCAAACAGACGACGCATTCTTCCCTTGAACTCGAATCCTCTCTCAATTTTCTCCTCTTCTTCAACGGAATATAACCTTCATCTTCGTAGTCATCGGCCCTATATTTGACCCTTTTCAAATCCTTAATAGACGACGTACTCGCAGGCGTGAAGTTTACCGAACTCGCCATCGATTCATCAACCAACTCATCCAATTCGATGACGTCATCGGAATCCACCTCAACGTGTAGCTCGACTCTCAACTTCATTACTTGACGTTCAAAGACGTTCATCGGCAAACCATCGGCATGGCGTGCATAAGACAAGATATCAGGAAAAAGGACAGTATCGATGAATTCTGGGGTCGCTCCCGACTCGGCGATCATGGATTGTATGGCGTTACGAGCATTTTCTTCGGATAAAAACAGGTCATGATAACCAATGGTGGTGCGATTGAAGGTTTGCAAGGTTATCTCCGGGTAAAGAGATGAAGCGTAACGCATCTGTATTTCCAAGTGAAGAAGACGAGGTAGGTTCATAGAACGAACAGGTTGTGGACAACTCTTGTACTCATGACTGATATTCAGGGAGTAACGGAATGCCATGCCTGGATTTCTGGGTTTTCAATTTTGATGTGATTTTTTAGGGTTAATGTGTGGCTTCAAGTGAAAGAAAATAGGGTTTTGTAGGTATTTAACTTAAAGAACATTTCCAATAAGTCGGTGACGTTACGTTATTAAAATTATTAAGAAATGACATTTTGATTTAGGGTAAATTACGTATTTAGTGTCTAAATTATCAGTTTTGATCCGTTTTAGTATCTAAACTATCATATTTTTCAAAACTATACATAACGTTTAGTTTTTGTTTCATTTTAGTATCCAGCCGTTACAAGTTTAAAGGACGGGCTCACCTGACGTCGCATCTATAGTCGTCATTCGTCACATCCGTCGACTGATGAAGCCCAAACTTTTCAGCCCGCACATTTTCAACCTCTAAATGTGATTTCGACCTCCATTTCACCAAAAAATGTCTCAATCTCCCCAAATCTACGATAGACTCTTCAACTTGTTCATCCTCCAATCTCCATCGTTAACCGTGCAATGGGTCTGAAACTAGACTATGTTAGTCGACACATCATTCTCTCGTGATCCACCATTCGGATTTGTCATCCATCCATCGGAGCTATGTTGCATCAGCCTGACCGTTAAGTATTTAACGACACGGTACTAAACTGAAACGTAACATAAACGTTAGGTATGATTTTAAAAAAAATTAAAAGTTTAGATACTAAAACGTATAAAAACTAATAGTTGAGATACTAAATAAGTAGTTTACCCTTGCATTTATTTATGTTAGCATTATTCACCCTTATTTTTTAAAAGCAAACTCATTAAATATCAATTAGACAATCCGCCGATTAAATAGGCCTTCAATTTTTGTGTGTATATGTAATAATAATAATAATAATAATAATAATAATAATAATAATAATAATAATAATAATAATAAAGATAATGTTGCATTAACCTTTGTATCACACTTTCTAAATATACATAAAAAATAAAGATATTTATATTAACAATTGTATTACAATTTTTTATTATATGAAAAATAAAGAGAATGTTATGTTGGCTTTTTTATTACAATTTCTAAATATATATATATAAAAATAAAGACAATGTTATATTAACATTTCAAAAATGTTTAATAATATAGGCAGAAATCTTTTTTTTTCTTCGAAAAATATTTTTCTTTAAAATCATATATATTTTGATAAAATCGGTGTTGTTCGTTTAAAAATTTTAAACCTAACATCAGGATATATTCATTTATCGAAAGATATGTCAACAACGTCTTGTCAATGATTAAAAAATAGAGTTTGTTTTCAGTGCATGCTAATTATCCTTACACCATTCTTCGCATAGTTATTTGGCATTATTAAAATTATAATTAACTTCGAAGTTTTTATTAGAGCCAATTTGGTATAACTTTTGAAAATTAATTTTTAAAAGTATTATAGAAACGAATTTTTAAAATTGTTGTATAAAAGTGCAGTTTAAAATTTAATAGTATAAGATTCATGTTAAAAAGTGAGTTTAATAAAAAAAGTACATTATATACATTATGTTGTAAATTAAAATATAACATTTAAATTATATGTACACTTATGTATGAATCATATTAATTTAAAATATAATAAAAATATAAAAATACAAATAAAAAATATAATTATAATTATAATAAATATATACTTTATATAATTTACTATTAATATTTTAATATATAAATAATAAAAATTTTATTTATTTTTAAATAATTAAAATAAATTATTAAAAGTAATAAAGCTTTTAAGAATATTAGTGTTAAATTATTAGAATAAAATGTAAATACATAATTGAAAGCCCATGTATTAGTAAGGGTAAAATTATAATTTGATTCCAAAGAGGAAAGTTGAAAATGAAAAAAATTAGAAATTATAGTTTTTGCGATTGGTTTCAAACCACCGTTTCTACCGTATTTTTTTCATTTTTTTATTAATTTGACATTAATTTTAGGGTCAAAACTTTACGATTTTTAACTAAAATCGATAATGTCTACTATCATATGATAAGCTCTTTAAAAATTCAACACATTTCAAATCATCGAAATATGACTTTGACAGAAAATATTATATTAACACATTTCAAATCATTCAAGTGTAAATTTGACGGATTTCGACCTAATCTAATTTTATTGGGTTGAATTTAAAAAAAAATCAAGATCGGGTCAAGTACGAGTTTAGATAAAAAAATATTTGATCCATTCAACCCAAAAAAGAATATAATTATATTTTTTAATTTAGGGTAATTATATTAATACACATCTGAAATGATCATCCAGCTCAGTTGGTAGAGCACGAGGTTCTTAACTTTGAGGTCGTGGGATCGAGTCCCATGGAGGGCATTTCATAATTCGGATGTCTCCTATGGAAGCTGCTCTCAACCTAGTGTTGGGGACAACCTACTATCTTACCTCCCCTTACCTGCCATTATAATAATACACATCTCTATATTATTTTTTTCAATTAAATACGTATGGATTTTATCTCAAAAGACAAGTCGGATTTTTTTATCAGATAGAGTCATTATAAAACTAGATCGGATCAAGTTTCAGATGGATAATGTATTTTTCTCGATTGGACCAGGTTAGTCGGAACCTGATCCAAACCAATGGTTGCCCATCCCATCCTCAACACCAAAGCTTTTAAGATTTGCTTTCAGGGATTGAGCTCTTTATAATAGGTTGATTTCCAATTAAACTCGAGAAAGAGTAGATTGTCTTTATTCGATGTTATGGTTTGTAATGTATGCTCTAAATGATCGTCTAAGATTAGACTGAGAGACTGGAAGAAAGTGTATTCGTTGTCCCTATAATTGACCCTTTTCAAAGCTTTAATAGACGACTTACTTGCAGGCCTGAAATTCACTGAACTCAACAGCGATGCGTCAATCAACTCACCGATCTCATCATCGAGATCAACCTCAAAGAGTATCTCGACTCTCAACTTCATTACTTGACGTTCAAGGATCATAGGCAAACTATCGGCATGGCCTGCACAAAAGAAGATACCAGGAACAAGGACAGTATCAATGAATTCTTGGGTTGCTCCCGAATCCTTGACCATGGATTGTATGATGTTACGAGCATTTTCTCCGGATAAAAACTCATCATGATGACTGGTGCTGGAGCAATTGAAGGTTTGCAAGGTTATCTCCGGGTAAAGAGATGCGGCGTAACGAATCCCTATTTCTAAGTGAAGAAGACGATGTGGGATCATAGAACCAACATGCTCTAAACAACTCACGTACCCATGACTGATATTGAGGGAGTAACGGAAAGTCATGGCAAGATTTCTGGGTTTTGAATTTTGGTGTGATTTCTTGGGGGTTAATATGTGGCTTCAAGTGAAAGAAAATAGGGTTTTATATGTATTTAAGTTGGGAATCACCAAAGGTCCAAAGCTATCATTTCTTGAGCCACAAGATATAAAAAATGACACATTTATTTGTTTTCGTCAACATTATGTACCCTTATTTTAAAAAAAACAAACTCTAGTAAACTATTAAATTAGGACTCAATTGTAAAAAAATTATAAATTAAAGGGTCAAAATAAAAAAATTCATGCAAAAAAACAAAACACAGTAATATCATTCCAACATAGAAGAGGAAACATCTTGCACAAATTAACAACACAAACTACATTCAAACAACAATGCTAAACGCACTCTCTCCTTTGGAGAGGGCTACATTGATCTATACTATAATCACACTTGCACACTGCAAATAGTAACTAAAACAAAAACAATTGAAAAAAACATAAAGAAAAATAAAGAGCCCTTGGATGCTATTATGCTGTCCAACGATCCAGTACCTTTTCTTTAAGAAAAACAGAGACAAAGATCACTTTTTTGTGTCATGAGGAACACTATAAAGGAGAGCCTTCTGGCTGTGTCATGGACCAATTGCTGCTGCTGCTTTTTTTTATCAGAGTTTGAAGTTGAGGCGAGAGGTGTAAGTCGCTTTTGGCGACCAGTTTCTGGGAATCACATCCCTTGCTGAGAGTGTTCTTCCTGTTGATAATGTTGTCAGTTTCACCGAGAAGGGCCCTTTCAAGGGTCCCCTGATGATGCACCAATTTGCTCCCCATACATGGTTCATCTCTAACCACTCATTGGAATTTGCCTGCAATTGCCAACAACATCCTTATCTCAATATCCATATCTTTCAAGAAATTACCATTTATGTGTATGTTCTTGGACACGGACGCATGATTTTACGTCATGGTTACGAACTTAAGAAATGACCAAAAATCTAGATTCATGGACTAATGTAGACTTAAAAATTTGGAACTAAAAATTTCCATTATCCTCTGAAGAATGTAAGCCTTGGGTGTGGACTGGGGGTCCCTAAAATCAATCATCACATGCAGGGGGGAGTCAAGATTCAAGAAAGTACTTAAATAGATTGAAGAAAAAGTAAGGTTTTGAGCATTTTGCACATTGGAGCCATTTACAGAAAGCAAGGGGGCAATGTTTTCTTAATAAAAGTGGCATATATGTTGGACTAATGGAATCTAGTTAAGCAGACAAATCTAATATTAGGAACAAGCCTACCCTTAAACATGGGGTTAATAATATATAATAATGGTAGGACTTTAAAAACATTCTGCCATTATCCTTTTGAAGGTATGGACACCACATTGATGTTCATATTTTGAACAGCTTTTTTTCATGTAACTATGAAAGTGCTTTGTGCTTTGAAGGTGCAGCTTTTTAGCCCTAAGAATTTTCCTAAAGTCAGTTATCTTATAATTTTCTTAGTCTATATTTTTTAGTTTCCCTCCCAGTTCTAAGGATTCGCCCTAACTAATCCGGAGTGACCCACGTCACACACTTGATTTTGGGGTGAGTATCCTAGGAAAGATTTTATGCATACATAATGACTCAAACTAGAAACATGCTTAAACGATATCAAACTGATCACCACTTAAACCAACCTCGTTGGTTATTTTCTTAGTCTATTGATAATGATGCACAAGTTTTAAGGATACTCAAATTCGAGACAATGAAAATAACATCTTTTTTACCACTTAAACCATTCAATGAAAATAATGAACAAAACCAGTAAAAATTATGGGAAAAGCGAATAGGGCTTACTTCTCTTATATGCATTGACCCAACATCTCCATCAACATCCTCAAACTCCACCAGAAGAGAGAGCCAATAATCAGTGGAGCCTTCATTGACATGGAAGGCAATGTTCTTTCCAGGGTATTTACATGGGGTTCTGTAGTTTTTAACCAAAAGTTAACCTTTTGTATTAATTATAGAAAATCGATAAAAACAAAGAAGAAAATGGCAAAAATAGAAGAGACAGTGAAAAGGAAAGGTCCCTGCAAAGCAAAGTCCAGAAGCACATACCTTCTGTAAACAACTGGTAGTTCGCCTCGGTTCCTGAGCTGCGAATTCTCGCCGGTTATAGCCATACGGCCAAAGGCCGCACCACTTAAGTCGAAGTGCGTGCGGCCATTGGCGCAGTACCCGCCGGGACACTCGTCAGTTACAATGATGGTGACGGCTCTCCTCGAGCATATGCTCTTGTCTAGGCACTTCACTTTGAAGCACGCTCCACACCCTTCACCGTTCTTGAACAGCACCGGGCTCACCGCTCCCACTCTGGCCCTCAGCGGCTTAACATCAACTAATGACCCGTACCCGCATGCTCCCCCTACACAATAATATCCCATAAACAACCCATTATTACTTTCCAAAAAAAGTAAAATTAACCAAAATTTCGAGTTGGTTTGGAAGTCTAGTAGTCTGCTGAACAAAGAAAACCCAGTTACAGATCTAAAATAGCCAATGGTGGACACTTACCGTCGCTTCCATCGCCGTCAGGACTGCCGTACCAAGTGGCGGTGGCAGGTTGCCAATGTAGGTCCATTTTTTTCGGCGCCGGGACCTGACCAGACACCATTGAACACTGCAACAACGCTAACCAGCATAATGTGACAACCCACCAACCGCGGCGCTGCATTGTGTTAACAGGCGGCGCCACCACTTGTGCAGCCTTAGTGGGCGGAAAAAAGTAAAGTGAAAGGGAGAAAAGTGGGTGGGAAAAAATGCAGGGCAAATAGTAGAAGCTAGTTTCTGCCGACAGTTTGTACTAGCATTGAATCTTTGAGTGTCTTGAAGGCAGTCTTGGGGAGCTTCATATAAGAAGCAGAGCAAAAAGATTATTGTTCTCATATTTGGTTAAAGTACATAAAAAGTCACTAAACTATGTTTAAATAATCATTTTGATAATTTAATTTTTAAAAGTTACAAAACAATCGTTATACTCATCGAACTATTATAAAATGATCATTATTTTTTATTGAACATATTCAGTATTTTTTAATAATCTAAGGTGATTATATAATAGTATATCTTCAAAGTCTTTCTCAGTCATTGATAATATATAGTTACATGCGCAACTACTCGAACTTAAAACTCTTAAGAAGAAGAAGAATCTTTTTCATCATTGAGGTCGTGTGATAAATCCATGACAAATCGACCAAATAATGTAGTAGAAAAAAAATCTTCATATGTTGTACCCTTGGGATTATTCTTTCAAATAGAGTACTTTGAACATTAACGCATGAAAGACGTATGAAGTAATCGATGCCTTCTGCATAGTTTGAGGAAGATACTAGAACAGTGGATGTCTTCTACATGACCTGAAAAGGCATGGGCGTGCATCGATTATGAGAGAAAAAAAGACGTCGAATCTTTCATGCGTTTTCATAAAGACATTAGATGATCTATTAATCTTTATTCGTTTTATTCTAATTGAAAAAATAATTTTTCATATACCCATATTTGAGCAATTTTGCCATGAATTCATAAATCAGTAATTTTTAATATAATATGTCCTGATATTTTCTTTATTTTGTGTGACAATGGGATCCACTAGGTTTGGATTTATTTACGTTGATGACACTGTGGCTGCTCGGGTCCACCGGCGGGTAAGGCGTTAATTCCGCGTGATCGAACCAGCCGGGGGGTCATTTTGGTTATTTCGGCATTCGACCGTTAATATTGTTGTCGTTATGTGTGAGGGTTTATTTTACTTCAGAGGGCCACGTGATGGTAAGTCTTTAGGGTCTTTTAGGGTATTTAATGGTGTGGATTCAAACTATGTCGTATTGACACTACGACATGCCAAAAATATTTCCCCGTAAATTACACAAATTATCTCCTGATTATAGAATATTATTTTATTAAGTTCTTTTATTATTAAAAGTAATAAAATGATCATTAATTATAGAATGTTATTTTGTTAAGTCATTCAACTATTAAAAATTATAAAATGATTACCCAACTATTCATTATATTTCAAACTCGTCATTTTTCATTAAAAAATTGGCGGTTAATGTTCAACTTAGAGTACGATCAACTTTTTAATGAAAAATGATGAGTTTGGAACATAATGAATAGTCGGTTTACTATTTTGTAACTTTTGATAGTCGAGGGTCTCAACAAAGCAACCCTCTATAGTCGATGAACCATTTTGTGACTTTTAATTATCAAAGACTTAATAAAACAGTATCCTATAGTCGAGGGACCATTTGTGAATTTTACCCAAATATTTCTCGTAATTTAAAATCTTTTAAGGTCCCTAATTACTCAAATCCAATTATATTTAAAATTCAGTTTAATTAAATTATTAAATAAAAGATTAAAAAAAACTACTAAAATGTATCCTTGGTATTGTCCATGCAATGTGAAAAGGATTAGCATGTTCATGTTGACCTACTTATATGAATTTAAATTATATAATAGGTGAATTGAGAGTTTAAATATTACTATATTCAATAGCTCATATATTTATGCATTATGTTATTTCTTCTAATTTAAATATATCATACGAAAATATATATTTTTAAGCTTCAATTAAATTAATATGATTATAATTACAAACAAAATTGATCATTTGGAACCTATTCATATTTAGACCGAAATAGTTATGAGTTGAGCCCACGTGTATAGTGGTATTTTGTTTTATTAATATAGGGTAAGTATAAGATAATATATGTTTAAATATAATTCTCAACTTCTCGACATTGAACGCTCACACTTCTGGTATCTGTTGTGCTAGACCTCGGGTCTTCAAAGAATAACAACAATTCTTTTATCACAAAAGTCACTAGATCCGTGCATGTATAGTGGTATTTATAAATATTGTAGTAACATATTTATTATAAAATAATGTATTTTGTTTACAATATTGACAAAGCTAAAAAGTAGATGGGCATTCTACGCACTAGCAAAGACAAGACCTATGTGCCCAAATCTTTCTGAAGAGGAATTTTTGCAAACAAAAAGAGACAATTCTCCTTTTTGTACAAAATATATGGTTTCTATATCATAAATAAAGATGTAGATTTGGCCTCAAATGAGAATAAAGCTGTTTAGATTGAAAAATAGTAAAACACATCCTGACCTAATTTTCATATACATAGTAAATATTTATATGAAATATTTATGTACACTTATCTATCAATATGTACAAGGATGGCAACAGGTCGGGTTAAAGTCAGATTTTTGTCAATCAGACCTAATTCAAAAATATGTGCATTCCATCTGAACACAACTCGACCTAAAAAATTATATCTTACATCCGACCCGAAAAATATATATTATTCATCCAACTCCGATCAGATCCGACCCGATCTAGTATAAATTAAGGATCTAATTAAAAAAATAAGAAAAATTTTAAGAAAATTATATTATTATCCTTGGATCGGGTAGGGTTGGAGTTTTTTCACCCTTCGCTCGAACCCGACTTGACTTGACTTCACCCTTTAAAAAATCTGACCCAACCTGATTTGAACATTAATTTTTTTAAATTGACACGATCGGGTCGGAACCCATCGGATGATCGGATGCGGGTGAAATTGTCATTCCTAAATAGAGAGAATCGCCTCAGTGACCAAAAAAAAGTTATAATATACGATTTTAACCAACTTTTTTTGGATTTGCCAAAATGACCAACAAAATCGCAACGCGAAATAAAAATCGCAACGCGATCCCCAGAATCGCAAATCAGTTTCCAAAATCGCAACGCGATTCTTGAAAATCGCGATGCGATAGTACAAATTCGCATTGCGATTTTCCATAATCGCAACGCGAATATGAAAATCGCAACGCGAACACATAAATCGCAACGCGTATCCGTAAATCGCAACGTGTATCCGTAAATCGCAACGCGTATGGGTAAATCGCAATGCGTATCCGTATATCGCAACGCGTATCCGTAAATCGCAACGCGTATCCGTAAACTGCAACGTGTATCCGTAAATCGCAACGCGTATCCGTAAATCGCAATGCGTATCCGTAAATCGCAACGCGTATCCGTAAATCGCAACGATAATCCGTAAATCGCAACGCGTATCCGTAAATCGCAACGATAATCCGTAAATCGCAACGAGAATCTGTAAATCGCAACGATAATCCGTAAATCGCAACGAGAATCTGTAAATCACAACACTTAAATTTTGGGTATATAACACTGAAATCATAAACTAAATCCTAAATCGCAACTCATTCCATCTCCATCTATCACTCTCTCCGGCGACATCCGTTCCTATATCCAACGACATCCTTCCCAATCCGGCAACAGGTTTTAGTTTCGCAGCTCGTCTGTTTAGTAAATTAATTTACAACCATGAAATCATCTAATGTTGATCATGTTTGGATAGATTTGTGTTTTGGAGGGTCATGGGATAATGTTCATGGTGTTTTACAATATATGCCTTTACCCATGAATCTTCAACTAAAATTGTCTTTACAAAAGTTAACTTATGAAACTCTAATGCTACGTGTTTCAAATAAATTGAATTTAGAGCCCCTAAGTGGATTTAGGCTATCTTATCAGAGAAATGGTAAAGTTTATTTGTTAACCGACAATGAAGATGTTGAACGATTCATTGCTTACATTAGTGTTTCACAAGATGATGTTACATTGTATGTTGTTGAACCTAGAAGTAGTATTGTTGGGTCAGTAGCGGGTAGTAATCAACTAAGTTTTTCTCAAAACCCACAACCTTTCTCTAATCCAAATCCCAATCAACTTTCAGCACCAAATTCCGGTTTTCGTATTGACCAGTTAGACGATGATGAGCCAACAGAAAAAATTGTGAGTACTAGTCAGTATTCGAAATTTGGTCTTGGTCAATATCCGGACTTTGATATTGGTCAATACACGGATTTTGATGATGTTTCAGAAGAAGAAACAGACCATGCGTGTAATGATATTGATATTGGTCAATACCCGAATTTTGATGATGAAACAGCCGTTGCCGAAGAATGTAATGTTGATGATAATGAGGAGGAAGTTACGACTGTGAATGAACATGTTGAACATCCATTCTGTAATTCATATAATCCTGAAGAAGAAAAAGAAGAAGAAAAAGTCCCCGAAGAAAAGAAAATGCCACGGGCGTATAACTGGAATATGCCAGAATTACTTCAGATACCGGAAGAAGAGTTGATAAAGAAAGCAGTTGATTGTTACACAAAAGTTATTCGTATCAAGAAAGATGATTGTTTTGATACAAAGGAAGACTTGAAGATAGCTTTATATACGAAATGTGTGGAAGATGGCTATCAACTAAAAGTTAACAAATCAAGCAAAGATCGTTTCGAAACAAGGTGTATGATTGACAAAAACTGTACGTGGCGTATGATTGCAAAGAGAATAAAAGATTGCAAAATGTTTCAAGTTAGGACTTTTATTGATAAACATACATGTTCAAGAACCCAAGTTTTTCCTCACCATAGACAGGCAAACAAAAAGGTGTTGGGTGGTTTTCTGGCTGAGTTAATGTTTTTGAATGGCAGGGTATATCGGGGACATGAAATTATGACTGACATGAATGCTCGGTTCAAGATTAGTATATCATATTCTCAAGCTTGGAGAGCCAAATGTTATGCCTTGGAATTGTTGAGGGGGTCGCCAGAAGCATCGTTTGCCCAACTGCCGGCTTATTGTCA